TGAGAGAATCAAAGAGATTTTAAAGAGAGGAAAGGGAAAAATTAGTTTCCCAAACCCTAAACTCCTTAAATCCCCTTCAGATTGCGACACTCTCGCTACATCTACCTCGCTGCAGTGACACGCCTTCTCGCTACAGCCAAAATCTCACAGAAAACTGCACTTTAGTTTTTGCAGAATCTCGCTACAGTGAGACCCTCTCGTTGCAACGATACTGTACCTAGAAATGCACCCTCCACTGTCGCCCTCTCGCTATAGCGAGAACATGACAGTTTCATCCCTCTCCCCAGTGCCTTCTCGCTACAGGGAGAATACCTGCAACATCCACACTTAGCCTAATTTGCTCAGCTCAAATCCAGCCACAAACCAACATAGACATATTTGTACACATGCATTAACATCATAACAAGGTCACACACACATATCCACATCACCATAAAGTAAATCAACACACCAACATATGGCAATCCATATATATATATATATATATATATATATCTTAATAATTAAAAAAATTACAAAATTTGGGGCATTACATGTGTCCCTTACTGCCGAAAGCATACCAGGAGCCGCTCCTTATTCGTGCCACATTGCACTGGCGATCACTCCCTGCCCTCACCTGGAAGCCTGTCAGGAGTCGTTCATTGTTCGTGCCACAATGCACCGATGATCACTGATAGACAATTGCCGAGTCGCAATCAAAACAACTAAGTTTTTTAAAGATTTTGTAGTATAGATGATGAATCCACTTTTTATTGGATTTTTACTTGTCATTTTGATGTTTCTTAATAGAAAAAGTAAACTTAGGAAGTGTAAATAACATAAAAACATCATTTTGGCCAACTATCATAGGTTTCTTAATTTTTGGTTAATTTACATTAATTTACATAGATATAGTTTGCAATTTTGATCATTTGAATAATTGTGCAGGAATTTCTAGACTTTTTCCATGGATTTTTAGCCTTTGAGAAATTTTGAGTTGAAAGTGATCACTTTCAGAAGTGAAAGTGGACACTACAGCAAGCTAGATCCAGAGGACAGGCCAGAGTAACCACTTTCAAAAGTAATAGTGATCACTCCAGAACCAAAGGAAGCACCCAGACCTGCGCGTGTTTACTCTCAGAAACGATAGTAAACACTTCAGAGAGCCCCAGAGTTCAGGACCCTGCGCGTGTTTACTCTTGTGAACGATAGTAATCACTATGCTCGCGCGTGTTTACTCTTGTAAACGATAGTAATTACTATGATCGAGAGTGTTCACTGTCGTGAACGAGAGTAACTGCTTTGAAGGCGTCAACTTTTCTATATATGGATTTTTACCATTTAGGGTAGGGGGACTTTTGCAGAACTTTTTCTCTCAGATATACCACAAATTTTAGGATACTCTTGGAGAGCCTAGGGTGGTCTTGGGTGACAGCCAAGGGTCCAACCTAGGGTTTGATTAACATTTTCTCCTTACTTCTCTTTGATTTTTGTATTGATGTTATTGATTTCTCTTTACTTTCATTTTGTAATTGTGAGACCCATCCTCATGGAGGGTTAATTTTCTTGTAATCTCTAGTGAGTTCATATAGATTCTTGAATTCTTGGTTTTTTGAATGTTAATGCAAATCTTTTTCTTCCATGAATTTCTTCCTCCCAAACTCTTGAATTGAATTAATGGTTGAATGAGGGGAGCATTGCGTAATGAACCCTAATCCATTTTAAGGAAATTCTAAATTTGAATTGCTTAATTCTTGTTTAATTCCAAGATTGCGTAATCAAGGAATGAGAGATTGGAGTTCATTGGATTGCTTAATTCATATGAAAACATAAGGTTGATTTTCGCTTGTTAAATCAACCTAATTCCGGGAGGAGAGGAAAAGTATTAAATCTTGAGAGGAATAGGGATAGAGTTTATATGAATGAACTAGGGGTTACTACATTTTATCGATTGAACTTTGCAATTTAATTTTCTGCTTAAGTTGATTGAACTTGAAATCACAAAACCCCCCCTTTTTACTTGCTTTCTAAATACATTGCACACTACATGTTTGATATTTGGTCACTCGTCCAATGATTCATGGGAGACGACCTAGGCTTGCATCCTAGACTACATAAATTTTTCTGCATATTTTGATGAAGGTTGACGACAAATCTTTTTGCAAATGAGAAAATATTTCGTTCATCAATAGAGCCAAACCTAGGTCGATTCATGGAGACACATTTTTAGTCAAATTCAATTTTAGGTTCTCTTTTAAAAATGCAAATAAGGTTTTTGGGATTTTGAAAATTGCAATTAATCAAATTAAATTATGAACAGAATTAAAGTGAGTAAAAAATAAATTAAGAAATATCAATCCACAGAATACCAATTGCGTGTAATTCTGACTATCATAGTATCTAAAGATTTAAATCTAGGTTTGAACAATCACTTATTTCAATTATTAATTCAATCGAATAACCTAATTGAATAGAGTTACAAATTAAATCAAATAATCATTTAACCTAATTCACATTAATTATCAAACTCGAGCATCAATCGAGTCCTAATTTGAAATCTAACAACAGAAAAATTAATCACGATCGCAATAAATAATTCTGAGATTAGAGAGAAAAAGATAACAAACTCGGAGCAATTAGCGCAGAACTCAAGTCGGAACTATAGTGTTTGAATTTCACAGATTGAACAAGAGGTTTAGCCTTCCATCGAAACGCTTAACCCATGCAAGAATGAGAAAAGAACGAGAGAGTTTGAGAGAAAGTAAAAACAAGGATTCTTATTTCGGTCTAGTCTCAAAAGTTCAAAGTGTCTAATCACTCTCCCTAATTCAGAACCTTATTAGTCTATTTATAGGTTCTAATTAGGGTAAATTAAGTGGCCAAAATGCGGGCCTCAATAATATCTAAAAGCCCAAATACAATTATTAAATAACAAGGGTCAAAATGCAATCTTGCAACAATATTCACCAAATCTTGTTCAACTTCAAAAAATCATAAAAATAGCAAACAACTCCAAATTCAACGATCCATATATGCATTTTAAAGCCCTAGATGTGTAGAATCCAATGCAACTAGAATCAACCAAAAATGATATCTGTAGAAAAAGTTATGGCCAAAAGAGTAGTCAGAGGTCAGAATAACTAAAAATTCGAAATAAAAGTATTTATTTGTAATAGGCCCAAATTATTCAAATAAGTAAAAAATGGTAAAAACTATGAAAATACAGCATATGAAAAGTGTTTATTAATTAAAATAAAACATTAAATGTAAACATAAAATATATTACATCAAATTTCCCCGCACTTAAGATTTTTCCTTCGGGGCAAATCCCAAAATCAAACCATAGGGGACCTAAAACAAATTAGGCTATGTACAAAGCCCATCAAGTTCAAATATCATGGCTAGATTGGAAATCAATCCTCATATCTCAAATTGACAAATGAACTTATCAAATCAAATGAATGAACCGTAAGAGATAGAATCCGCACATGATATACTTTCAATCACTTAAGTGTATAAGGTAAGGTTTGTCACTCAAAATGCACAACATGAAGCATGATCATCCATAAGCTTGCCAATTGCCTACTTTTCTACTAGAATTCACACATATACACAAAAATCGAGAGGGCTTTTCTAGGTTATAAAGGGGCATAGTAAAGGTGGAAAAATTACAATGGTAATCAAGCTAAAACCAAAGAGGATATAAGAACAATGGAGAATGAATCCAAAGAAAGTAAGCATGAAAGTAAATCTCCTAAAAAAGATATAATGTAATATAATCCAAAAATAATCCTCTTTTACTTTTGCTAGCCATCCAATGTTTCCTTTCCTTTTCTTTTCTCTCTTTTTTTTTTTTTAAGGTAGCTGATTTTTCTTTTCTTTTGCATTTTCTGAAGTAATCTCCCCCACACTTATTTCTATGAGCATTCTTAAAACAATTCCAAAGTTCTTGTATCCCCTAAGGTTGGGTCATTTTATTGTTTTATACCTTTGGCTTGAAATGAGCTAAGATCACAAGAAATAGGACAATTAGGCTCAAGGGGGCTCAAACAATGGAAATAATGCAAGGTTGGCTTTTTGACTAGTAGTTTACAAGAAGGAAATTATGCCTCTATCATGTTAATGTGCAAGCATATAGAAATATAGTCTTAAAAAGGCTCAAGGCAAGTTCTAGTGTCATACAACCATGAGTGCAATCACACAATGAAGGAAAGTAAAATGACATGATATTGTCATCTATATGGCTCAAAACCTCACAAGGTATATATTCTATCCCAAATAATCAAACACACAGGATATCAAAGTCCACCTATCAAACCGAAGAATGATTCAATCAATCCATCAAAGCCTTAAAATAATAACTTAATTAGACTATGTACACACCAAAAATATAATACTCCCCCCACTTGAAATTAGCATTATCCTCAATGGAAAACATAATAAGCATAACGACAATTCAAACAATTCAATAAGTGAGAGAAAGGTGAGAAAACTCCCTATAAATCAGGGTAGGTGGCCAATTCAAAAGTGGCCTCCTCTTCTTCATGTTCCCCCAAGCTCTCGTGAAAAACCTTGAGCCAATGCCCATTAACCTTAAAGCTCCTTTGTGATCCCATATCCTGAAGTTCAACAACACCATAAGGAAAAACATTAATAACAAGAAATGGACCATCCCACCTAGATCTCAATTTACCGGGCATCAACTTAAGTCTAGAATTATATAAAAGGACTTTGTCACCAATGTGAAACTCTTTACGTCCATTTATCTTATCATGAAAAGCCTTGGTGCACTCTTTGTAGATGTTGGAGTTCTCATATACTTCTCTAAGAATCTCCTCCAACTCTTGTAATTGAAGCTTCCTATGCGTGCCAGCTGCCTCTATATCTAGATTACATTGATTGATCGCCCAAAATGCCTTATGCTCCACTTCTACTAGTAGATGACATGCCTTACCAAAAATAACTAGATAAGGAGACATTTCTATGGGTGTTTTGTAGGCGATTTTGTAAGCCCACAAAGCTTACTCCAAGCGTAGACTCCAATCCTTTCTGTTGGGTTGAACAGTCTTCTCCAGAATTTGCTTTATTTCCTGATTGGAGATCTCTGCTTGTCCATTAGTCTGAGGGTGGTATGGTGTAGAAATGTTATGCATAACCCCAAACTTTCAAAGTAAGGCAGTCATTGTGTGATTGCAAGTGTGATCCCTGGTTGCTGATTAATGCTCTGAAAAATCCAAACCTGCAGAAAATATGTGACTTTACAAAATCGACAACAACACGAGCATCATCAGTGCGAGTGGCCTTTGCCTCCACCCACTTAGAGACATAGTCCACTGCTAACAAAATATAATAGGTATAGACAAATGAAATAGGAAAGGGACCCATAAAATCTATGCCCCATACATCAAACACCTTATAAAAAAGGAGAGGTAGTTGGAGCATCTCATTCTGGCGTGAGATGTTTCCAGTCCTTTGGCATCGCCCGCATGTCTTACAAAAGTTGTGTGCATCCTGAAACATTGTAGATCAATATAGTCCATAATCTAAAATCTTTCAGGCTGTACGTTGAGGTCCAAAGTGTCCACCACAAGCCAAAGAATGGCAAAATCTAAGCGCAGACTTGAACTCAGGTTTGGGCACACATCGTCTAATAACCTTGTCACTGCCCATCTTTCATAAGTATGGATCATCCCAAATGTAATATTTGGAATCACTCTTCAGCTTAGTAGTTTGAGCTTTGGAAAAGTATGTAGGAATCTCTCTGATAGCCAAATAATTTACCAAGTCTGCATACCAAGGATCATGCCCTCCAATGTGATAAAGTTGGTCATCTAGAAAGGTATCTCTAATGGAGAGATCCTTCAGTGGCTGCAGAATTCTACTCAAATGGTCTACCACTAGGTTTTCTGCATCACATCTATCTTTGATCTCAATGTCAAACTTCTGCAAAAGAAGCATCCAGTGAATTAGTCTTGGTTTAGAATTTGACTTTTTAAGCAAGTACCTCAAAGTTGCATGATCAGAGAAAACAATTACTTTAGAGCCAAGTAAATATGAACAAAATTTATCTAAAGCAAAAACAATGACTAAAGGTTCTTTTTTTTGTAATGGTGTAGTTTGCTTGTGCTTTATCCAATGTCCGAGAAGCATAGACTATGACATGTGGTTGCTTCTCCACTTTTTGACCAAGGACAACACCAACTGTAAAGTTCAAAGCATCACACATAAGCTCGAACAGAATCTCCCAACTCAGAGGTTGAATGATTGGAGTAGAAGTGAGGCTCCTCTTCAGCTCATCAAAAACGTCCTTGCAGGTATGATCAAAGATGAAATCAACATCTTTCTGCAAAAGGGTAGATAATGGGGATGCAATTCTACTGAAATCCTTGATGAAGCGCCTATAAAAACTTGCATGGCCAAGAAAAGAGCGCACTTCTTTCATAGAAGTAGGGTAAGGTAAAGAAACAATTACATCAATCTTGGCTCTATCAGTCTCAATACCCCTATTTGACATTACATGCCCTAGTACAGTCCCTTCGGTAACCATAAAATGACATTTCTCATAATTTAAAACTAAATTGAACTATATGCACCTATCTAATACTCTAGACAAGTTATCTAAACATGCATCAAATGAAGACCCATAAATAGTAAAGTCGTCCATGAATACTTCAAGTGAGGTCTCTAAGAAGTCCACAAATATGCTTATCATACATCTCTGAAAAGTGTTAGGTGCATTACACAGTCCGAATGGTATTCGTCTATAAGTGAAGGTAGTCTTATGCTGGTTCTCTAGGGCTATGTGTCTTTGAAAGTAACTAGAAAATCTGTCTAGAAAGCAATAATGGAATTTTCCTACTATCCGCTCCAAGGCCTGATCAATAAAAGACAGGGGAAAATGGTCCTTGTGAGTGGCGTGATTTAGCTTCCTATAATCAATACAGACTCGCCACACATTCTGAATTCTAGTCGAAATCAGCTCATCAAATTGGTTCTTTGTGACTATTATGCCGGTTTTCTTGGGTACAACATGGATTAGACTCACCCATTCACTATCGAAGATTGGTTATATCATTCCAGCAGCTAACAGTTTACCAACTTCTTTCTTCACTACCTCTAAGAGGGTGAGATTCAGCCTTCTTTGGGGTTGTCTCACAGGTTTTGCATCTTCATCAGCAGAATTCTGTGCATACAAGTGGATGGGCTAATGCCAAAGTACACCCAATTGCTTGCTTGTGGGTTGCTAAAGTTTGCAACAACTTCTCCTCTTGTGCAGCATCTAAATCGACTGAAATGATCACTGACAGCTTGTTATTAGCCTCTAAAAATGCATACTTCAAGTGCTTAGGCAGAGGCTTCAGTTTAAGTACAGGTGGCTGCATAATAGAGGGAAGTGTCCTCATGGAGAAGTCTAATTCTGCAGCATGCATCATGCTAGAGCTTTCCAAACCTGTTGCTGCATCACATGAAACATCATCAGCTATTAAATATGCATCTATTTCAGCACAAATTTTACACAAACCTCCTACAGTGCATGTACAACTAAGAATATTAAACACGACAAAAGAGACAAAAATGAAACAAAGACGAAAACAACAATTACGAATTAGAAAGTGAAAATGCAATATAAACCTAAAACAAATCAAAACTGACAATGGCATTCCTGGCAACAGCGCCAATTTGATAGACGATTGCCAAGTTGCTATTAAAACAATTAAGTTTTCTAAAGATTTTGTAGTATAGAGTCAAACCTACATTGATTCACGAAGACACATTTTCAGACAAATTCAATTTTAGGTTTTCTTTTAAAAAATGCAAATAAGGTTTTTGGGGTTTTGAAAATTACAATTAATCAAATTAAATTATTAAAAGAATTAAAGTGAGTAAAAAATGAATTAAGAAATATCAATCCACAGAATACCAATTGCATGTAACTCTGACTATCATAATATCTAATGATTTAAATCCAGGTTTGAACAATCACTCATTTCAATTATTAATTCAATCGAATAACCTAATTGAATAGAGTTACGAATTAAATCAAATAATCATTTAACCGAATTCGCATTAATTATCAAATTAGAGCATCAATCGAGTCCTAATTTGAAATCTAACAACAGAAAAATCAATTACGATCGCAATAAACAATTCTAAGATTAGAGAGAAAAAGAGAACAAACTCGGAGCAATTAGCACAGAACTCAAGTCGGAACTACAACGTTTGTATTCTGCAGATTGAACGAAAGGTTTAGCCTTCCATCGAAGCGCTTAACCCACGCAAGAATGAGAAAAGAATGAGAGAGTTCGAGAGAAAGTAAAAACAAGGATTCTTATTTCGGCCTAGTCTCAAAAGCTCAAAGTGTCTAATCACTCTCCCTAATTCAGAACCTTATTAGTCTATTTATAGGTTCTAATTAGGGTAAATTAAGTGGCCAAGATGTAGGTCATAATAATATCTAAAAGCCCAAATACAATTATTAAATAACAAGGGTCTAAATGCAATCCCACAACAATATTTAGCAAATTTTCCTCAACTTCAAAAATTCATAAAAATTAGAAAGCAACTCCAAATCTAGTGATCCATATATGCATTTTAAAGCCCTAGATGTGTAGAATCCAATGCAACTAGAATCAGCTAAAAATGATATATGTAGAAAAAGTTATGGCCAAAAGGGTAGTCAGAGGTCAGAATAACCGAAAATTTGAAATAAAAGCATTTATTTGTAATAGGCTCAATTTATTTAAATAAGTAAAAAATGGTAAAAATTATAAAAATAAAGCATATGAAAAGTGTTTATTAATCAAAATAAAACATTAAATGTAAACATAAAGTATGTTACATCAATCACTTTCAGCCCTTGCCTAGCGACTAGATATCACGAACAACAATTATTACAAATCCATTATAAGATCTTTTTATAAAAATGCATGGACAAATAGGATCATTTTATATCTTTCTCTTAACAAATATTTTCTAAGACGAGTATACCACATGTGTCTAGATTGTTTCAATCCATAAAGTGATTTATTCAATTTGATTGAATAACCTTCTTTAGAATTTGAATTGTATGCATTTGACAAATTAAAACCTTTAGGGAGTTTCATATAAATGTCATTATCAAGTGATCCATACAAATAGGCTGTAACAACATTCATTATTTGCAAATGAAGTCCTTCATTTACTGTTAAACTGACTAAGTATTGAAAATTATTTGCATCCACTATAGGTGAATATGTTTCTTCAAAATCAATGTCAAGTCTTCGCAAAAAACAAAAAACCTTCACAATTTTACTTTTTTCATTTCATTTTCGTACAAAAATCTAATTTATATCCAAATGGCTTTACATCTTTAGGTGTACGAACTATAGGTCCAAAACTTGATGTTTTTTAAGTGACTTTAATTCTGTCTTAATTGCATCTTTCCATTTTCTCAGTCACTTCTTTGTCTACACTCATTGACTGATTTTGGGTCATGATCCTCTATATCAGTTATCACATCCAAGCTATGTTAAATGAAAAAAATATCAACATTGACTTCATTTCAATTTTATTGTATTCTATTCATGACATAATTTATTGAGATGTCCTTATTTTCATCATTTTTAAGTACCCGTGTTTATTCGGGAACTAGAATATTGATTGTGTCAGATGACTCTTCTAAAGTCTGTATGTAACATCTCCAAAATTCGGTCTAGTTTCATAGATCGTCTATTACTAGCTAGTATCTTTTTTCTCAATTTCTTTTACCCTAATTTAATTCTTGTTGTAAATTAAGTTATTTTATGTGATTGTTTAATTTTCAACTCATTTTTTTTTGTTTTATTGTTTGCGACTCTTGCTTACATTTTGATGCAATGATGTGATAATGCTTAATGTACTCTTTTTCTCTTTATATGTAAGTATTCATGGTCATGTAGAGGAATTTTTTTTAAAACCCTAGGAGAACATGACAAACCCTAGGTCAATTTTTCTGATGTTTAGAACGTATGGATCCTACATTTATTAATATTCCTTCTCTTAATCTATTTTTATTGTTAATATTAGTATTATTCCTATTTGAGAGAGAAGTGTGCACGTATAGCTCTTACACTTCCCCTAGCTGTTATACCTTTGCTTGGAAGGCTGTGAATGCACACATTGTATCTGTGTGTAGTTTAGCTGACCATCGACTATCCATGCTGCATAAGTCTTTCGTAACTAGGGAGAGTACATTGGTAGTGATTTAGGGGTCTGAGAGTACCTAGAGTACTATTGATTGATGAGATGTTAAGATTGGAAATGGATGAACTGGCACGAATTTATGGATTGGATAATGATGTCTAATTAAGTGTAGAAGAATATGCACGAATGTTTGTTGGGGCGAGAGATACTCACCCTTACAAATATTTTTAAGTAAAGAATATTGACCCATTCTAGGATCATACTTGCAAGGGACGGTAGGAAAGGAACTGCTATGTGGAATTTAACTTGTTGGGACATATGTAATTTTATTGATTGGGTATCTAATTAGAACTTGAAGTATTTTGATAAATTTGTTGTAGTTAATGATTCAATGTTTATGTGTAATACTTAATAGTTAAATGTTTATTTTATATCCCGTGTTAGTTAGAAATTTATTTTACTGAAATATATCTTTGTAGTATTAGTAGCTCGAATTTTATATATATATGAGAAAGGATTTTCTTATATCAGTGTAAGTCTAAAAACTCTTACACTCAATTTAAGCTTTTCATTTAACTTAAATCTAACGACCAGTAAAGTTATAACCTGTTAGATTTAAGTTAAATGAAAGGCTCAGATTGAGTGTAAGAGATTTTAGACTTATATCGGTGTATGAAGGCATGTTGTTTTATCCACAGATGAAAATTTTGTACAAACAAAGTTTAAAAATATTGGCCAACTTTCATCAGTTATATTCATACATTTGTACAATTTCTTAATAGTATTCAGAACTTTTATGATTCTCTTAAGTTTTATTTAAATATATAAATACGATCAAGGGAAACTATTTAAAATTATAAAAAGGATGTTACAATTTCATCAATTTCAACATACATTAATATTCAAAAAGGGACAAGGTAATGCAAAGTGTGGTGGAGGCAAAGAGATGTAGTGACGTAGTTGGAGAAGAGAGAAATGGGAGATTCAAAATGTTGTTTAGATGTTGGATGAGAGGGAACTGATAGGGATGACAATGGGTAAAGTATTTAAGGGGTATCCGCAAATTTACCCTCAACGGGTAGGGTATTTACCCGCTATACAGGTATAGGTATAAGTACAGAAAAATACCTACAAATTTTATTGGGGATGAGTGCGGGTATATATGCTACTTATGTGAGAGAAGCCTTAACCCCAAAAGCTTATTATAAGAGGAAATTAGGGTTAATAATTAATATTTTATATATTTGGTTAGATTCTCTCTATAGTCATTGAAAATTATGTAATCATATGAGTTGCTCCACAATTTGCCCTATCGAGAGTTATATTTTAGGAGTGAGTCACACATAAATATCT